GTGACCCGCCGGGAACATCCCAGTGCTGAGCATCCCAACCTGAACCATCCCTCTGCCAGCTCTCAGCCAGCCCCTGCCCTGCCTCCGTTCCCTCGGGAATTCCCTCCCCTGCCCTTGATCCCTAGCCTCGGGAATTCCCTCCCCAGCCTGGCTCTGTTCCCTTGGGAATTCCCTCCCCAGCCTGGCTCTGACTCCCCTTTGGGCTCTCCCCTGGGATCTCCTCCTGAACAGCCCCAGCTCCCCCAGGGATGTGGCAGAGCTCAGTTCCCACCATGGGCTGTAGTTCTTTGATCCCATATCATTCCTGAAGAAATTTGGGTTCTCCCTGTGCTCTGCCACAAATAAACCAGGCACTGCTCCCGTGTCAAGCACTGCTGGTTGAGAGTGACCCAGAGCTCCCACGATCAATCACAGCGTCGATGAGCAACCTGTTTAGGTTATCAGAAAAAAAATACAGCAAATGGCAGGGAAAATCCTGGTCTGAGCCCCTCATTATCGAGGTGTGCATGATGCTTTGAAGGACCTGCTGCAGGTCTGAGAGTGTCTCCCCAGCCCTGGGATCCTCACCTGTGCCTCTGCAGGTTGTGGCTCACGGTGCTCAGTTCTGTGTTCCCTCCAGAGCTGTTTGAGAAGAAGAACTACGAGCTGAGGATAGCAGGAGGTGCCGTGAGGGATCTGCTCAGCGGAGTGACCCCGCAGGACATCGACTTTGCCACCACAGCCACACCAGCAGAGATGAAGGAGATGTTCACCTCAGCTGGTGTTCGCCTGATCAACAACAAAGGGGAGAAACACGGAACCATCACTGCCAGGGTTGGTTTGGCACTGGAGCTGGGTCTTTTCTGGCTGGCTGTGGATCCAGGAGAGAAGGGCTTGTGTGCTCCTTGTGGGTTAAAGCGTCACAGAGAGGGTTGAAATGGAACCCTGCTCTGAGGCACGGAGTGTTTGCATTAGTCATGGTGTAAGTCAATTAATTGCCATGTTTTCGTTCATTTTACCCGTTAATGTTGCTGTGTCGTCACTAGAAAAGACAGTGTAGGGTGCCCACACTTAGGAGAATGTGGGGGAGTTTCTCCTAGTGTTTCCTGCTCCTGATTTCCCAGGTTTTTTTAGTATAGAATCACAGAATCGTATCCTGCAAGGGCAAACAGCTCTGCCACGTCCTTTGAGTCAGGCTGGGAGAGCTGGGGGTGCTCCAGGCCCTGCTGCTCCCACCTTGCTGTGCCTCTCAGTCTCTTCACACAATCAGTCAGTCGATCGTGTTGGACAAGACCTCTGAGATCAAGTCCAACCTCTGATCTCCTGCAGGAGGATCCTGAAGGCAAACAGACAGCCCAGGGTTGTTTTTAGGAGTTCACGTTGGTCTGTTGGTTTGCACATCTGCAGCTTGAGCTGTAACTCTAGGCAGACACTTGGCTGGAGGCACAGGGAGCTTGGCCCTTGCTCTCACTGTGTGTTGAAGTAACTGTGTGTGTGTTTGCAGCTCCAGGAGCAGAACTTTGAGATCACCACTCTGCGGATCGACGTGGTCACCGACGGGCGACACGCCGAGGTGGAGTTCACCACCGACTGGCAGAAGGATGCTGAGAGGAGGGACCTCACTGTCAACTCCATGTTCTTAGGTGGGTGCTTTCAGCAAACCAAGCCAGTAAATTCTGTTTCCATTCTGTTTGTCCTGCCCTGAGCTGATCTGACAGATCAGTTTGTCTTCTGTGTGGTCACATGAGGGTGTTGAGTTCTGTCAAACACCTTAATCGACTCATATTCTTCTCTTTTCCTTCTTTTTCTAGGCTTGGATGGGACACTCTATGATTTTTTTAATGGCTATGAAGACTTGAAAAGCAAGAAAATCAGATTTGTAGGGAAGGCAAGTGAGAGAATACAGGAGGATTATTTAAGAATCCTGAGGTACTTCAGGTGAGAGGTTTTGCCTTGTTAGATAAGACATGAACCGCAGAAGGTTTCAGAACATGCAAACAAAGATCAGTGATGTATAAAGAGTTGTAGTTGTCATATTTCCTGTCCAGCCTAGATGATTTCATGATCTAAGTGGAATAGTTGTTCTTGGCCTAACAAATGTATACAAACCATCAATAACCAGCAGAGGTTTGTTTGGCAGGTTTTATGGAAGGATTGCAGAGGAACCTGGAGATCATGAGCCCAGTACAATGCAGGCAATCAAAGAGAATGCCAAAGGCTTGGCTGGGATATCAGGAGAGAGGATTTGGGTGGAGCTGAAAAAGATTCTGCTTGGAAATCATGTGGATCACTTGGTGCAACTTATGTATGAGCTGGATATTGCCCAGTACATAGGTAAGGTGGAGATTGGTTTCCTGCTCCTCTGTCATGTGCAAACAGAACTTGCAGCATGGCAGAGTGAGTGAAAACTTGGGCTTACTCAGAAATAAATTAGACTTTATTTTCCTCCTGTGTTAACACCCACATTTCTTGCTAACCCTTGCACTGTTCATGTGTGCCCTTAGGGTTACCACCTGATGGGAACTTAGAGGAGTTTTCCAGAGTCGCTAAACATATCCAGGCTCTGAGTCCCAAACCAATGACTGTTCTGACAGCCTTGTTCAAAGCCAAGGATGATGTGACAAACCTTGACCTGAGGCTGAAGATCTCCAAGGAAGAAAAAAACCTCGGGCTGTTCCTGGTGAAGCACAGGCAGGAGCTAACCAAAGCTGTGGGGCCAGAGCCGCTGAGGCCGTACCAGGACTTCCTGATGGATGTAAGTGTGTTCCTTTGCTTTGGTTTGGTCTGCACAGGCAGCTGAACTTGCAGTTGAGGTGACTGGTGGAAAGGAAGAGCCAGGTCGGAGCCATTTCGTCAGCAGGTTTGGCTCTTGGCCTTGGGCAGCTTTTTGCCAGGGGTTTAGAGACCATTTCACCAGAGGGATGGGATGTGCTGGTAAAAATCACTAACCACACTTGGATTGTTCCCAGTGTAACATCACAAAACCTGGAACAACACCTTTATGATCAATTAACACCTGTGTTACTGGTACCAGGTGCTCGGAGCAGCCTGGGCTAGTGGAAAGTGTCCCTGGCCATGGGGTGAGATGGGCTTCAGGCTGAGTTTTAGTTGTGAGGCAGGAGAGATGCAACGTGTCCAGATCCTGCCTCGTCAGGTGTCATGGGAATAACACAGTGCTCAGCACTTTCTGCTGTTTCATACTGAATCCTGTTTTCCTCTCTGCTCCCAGTCTAGGGAAGCCAACACAAACTCCAAGATCTTTGAGCTGCTGAAATACCAAGGGGAAGAACAGCTGTTGAAAGAGATGCAGGAATGGACTGTCCCTTCTTTCCCCGTCAGTGGCCACGACCTGAGGAAGATGGGGGTGTCATCCGGCAAAGAAATCGGAGCAGCCTTACAGCAGCTGAGGGATGAGTGGAAGAAGAGTGGATACCACATGGACAAAGAGGAACTCTTGAGCTGCTTGAAGAAGCCATGAAATGGAATGCTGAGAGTGGCCCAGGTGGGACTGAGAGCCAGGAAGGATTGTCACTCACCGAGTGGCTCCTGTCACTGAGGCATCACTGCAGCAAGGAGAGGTATCACTTTGTGTAATGTAAAATGTTGCAGGCCAAATGCCACATTTGCTTCCTCTCCTTGTTGTATTTAGTGACCTTACCATGATTTCAGGGCACTCAGGATTTTTCTTGTTCTGACTTTCTATATCTAAACAAACACCCAAAAAAAGGTGTTTTTATCCCTGAGATAAAATCATGGAATATTGTTGTGCCTAGGACAGTGACAGTGTCTGGAAGCAATGAGCTTTAACTGAGCTCTGTGTGGTTAGAGCTGGATACAGATGGAAATACTATCTCCAGCAGTTCCCAGCCAATCTCACCATGTAAAACCAGGATTGGTAGAGATCCTGGGATTCCAGAATCAATTTCATATGAAAAGGTGACTTAGCTTCAGGATCAGGAACTTCTTGTCTCTTCAGTAACTTAGCCCTGAGTAGCTACACCCATGGGAAGCTGGTGAAGGGTTCTAAGTGTGTTGTCAGCATCACATGTTGAAATTTTCCTACCAAAACTTGGGAACTAATAAAACCCTTGGAGTTCATTTTGCTCGGATCTCATTTTCCAGCATTAGATGGCAGCACCAGAGCAGTGCTGCCACAGAGCAGCCTGGGGGCGTTCAGACAACTTCCAGCTGCATTTTTCTCTCTTAGGGAGTCAGTTCTTTACCTCCGTCATTCTGGAGGTAACTGGGGTCATTCTGGAGGTAACTGGGAACTCCAGGACAGCAAGGGAAGTGCCGTTTGCTAATAAGACAAATCTAAGAGCATGATGGCTTTTAATTTGATGATGTAATTACACTGAAGCCTCTGTGCAGTGTGTTGAGCTGCTGGAATGGTGGGAGGGGGAGAAGGGATGCAGTTTTGTGCTCTGAAGATTCCTCTGCAGACCTCACAGGCTGCAGCTCTGGGGCAAAGTGTGAACACTTAGCCTCCCCCCCAGAGCTGCTGTCAGGTCAAACAGCACTTGCAGGGAGGAGTTTTAAGTGCTCTGAAATATTGGGAAATTCATACAAGGAACCAACTTGGAAGTGAAGCTGAGAATTTCTCAGGTGGATTGAAGCAAACAGGTGAACACAAGAGATGAAGGATTGAACACTGGATTTTGATCATAGGAATGACAACCTACACTCTCCATGTAATTCCTTACCTTCCCTGGCCTGTGCCAGTGGAGCCTGAACAGTCTTTGAGGCAAAACTCTTCCACTCACATGGATTTTTGCAGCCAACCTGCTTAAAACACAACATATCCCCCAGCAATTCCTTTTCCCCACCCCAACAATCAGCCAAACCGCTGAGTTTTGAAACAAATCAGATTTTATTCTTTGCAAATGTTTGCAAGCAACAAGAGTCATCAGAAAAGTTGTCCCAAAAGGCAGAGAGAGGAAGAGTTAAAGCAGAGACTGTGCTACCCTCGAGCAGCTTCACAGAGCAGTTAGAGGTGACAAACAGTGAGAGGAACAAGTGAAGTGCAGCACAGACAAAAACAGCATTATTAAAAACCAAACATCTGAACATGTTTCAGCCCCAGTGAGGAACTGTGGTTGTACCTGCTCATCAAGATGGAACTCAGGTACATGAACACTGGCAATAGTACAGGCTCTGACTGTGCTGATGCTGTGGCAATGATGGCTTGAAAACAGTCTGTGCTCCATGAGCTGTGACCAGCCAAACCTGCTGCCTGCAGGACACTGTGCCTCTGCCCCCCACTCCAGCCCCACAGCACAGGAGGGAGGCACAAACACCCCCTGGGGCAGCAGCCAGCAGGGCAGGCAGATCAACCCTGCAGGAAGCTCCACATCCACCACTCGATGGGGTAAAACCATCATAAAGTGTGGCTCCCTTGGACTCAGCTCTCACATCTGTAATCATTTCCACAATCCCAACCTAATGGTGTTCTCTTCAGAGCAGAGAGAAGCATGAAAGCCACTGCAGCACTGAGCCAGCCCCAGAGCTGCCCTGGGATGGTTTCACCATGCAGGACTCACCAGTGACCAAACCACACTGGTGTCCAACCTGGCAAGTGTCACAGGCTTCGACAAGGCAAAGATTACTCAGGTTAGGCAGATGGAACAGCATCACCAACGATGGAAGTAATTAGTGCTAAGTTTACTCCTGATTGTATTAGTTTACATCTGACTGTACACACACAATCCCCAAATATGCCTAATTTGGATCCAAACTTTGCTAGCTAACACCATTTTAGCTGAGGCAATCCAGAAGACTCAGCCAAAAACCCACAGACCTTATGAAGTTCAGTGATAGCTGAGAAAGTAATTTGGAAAACCCTTTCCCCATCCCACACCAAACAGGTGGAAACACTCTCAAACTTCTTGCCCAGCCCTACTGAGGCTCACAGGAATGACAGACACGAGGGATGTGCAGGGGGAAATAAAGCAAGATGTGCTGGGTGTGCAGGGGTGAGGCACAGCCAGGCACGGCCTCAGTGGCTATCCTAACATTCCCAGTCTCCCCCTCACACTGGTGCTTGTCATTTCAGCCCTCCCAGAGCTTATTACAGACCATCATCAGAATGCTGTCTCCAGGCAAACGAGCCATCACTCACCTGTGTGTGCCCACAGCTCCACCCCAAGGATTGCTCTGCACGGCCCACTGCCAAGTCAGAGCAGTGCCCACAGAATTGAACAGGAATTCAGGGTACCTGTGCAGGGAATGAGAGTGGCCACAGAAGCACAGAGGTAGGAAGCTTCAAAGGGCTAAACCTGAGTTACACAATCGTTAGTTTCTACACACTCAGCGTGACAAACACCTCAGCAGCTTCTCAGCTTCCTGCAGGGTCACACCTGGGGCCTGCCCAGCTGCAGGCACCACCACACCCTGGACCCAGCTCCCTGCAGCGACCTGACAGGGAACAGGCAACTGCTGGCTCATGTCTTAAATCTCCTGTAGTTTTGTGTCACTGCATTAGCAAGTGAAGAACTAAAGAGTGAATGGTAAAACTTCATCAGGAAAACAAGTGTGTGTGTGCCCAAACACCCTGCAGAGAGCTCCAGCTTCCATCACCAAAGTGCAACCTGAGGGGAGAGAATCCCCAAAAAATCACTGGCAAAAGCTGCCCCAGTTTGGCACCTGATTTCTGGAGCACAGACACAAACACCCCCAAACCCAACCTCCCCTCAGAAAGATCTGCCTTTACTTCTGCTTGATTTAGAACTCCTCCTCTTCGTGAGGTGACAATTTTACTGTGTGATCTGAAAGGGGAAAAGAGAAAACGCATTGAAGAGATGTTGCCTCCCTCTTGTCACAGTAAATACTACTGGAAAATCCCCTGGGCTGGGTGTCTTCAGAGTCCCTCCCAGGTCCCCAGACAGCTGTGCTGGAAGTTAACCTTCACAGGAATCACTCCAAGAAGCAACTGAAGCACATTCAGCAGAACATGGCAAGGTTGGTTATGCTCTGGGACTGACCTGTGTATTGTTTCTAAACAGTTTAAAATCGAAGACTTCTAAAGTCAAAGAGATTAAATAGATCAGACAACTTGTAAGGAACAACTTCACAGGGTTCCATCCTGGAAGGCAGCAGCACCTCCTGCCACCGACACGAGCAGCTCAGTGTCACTCAGACACTTCAGTCCTGTTCTCTCTCTGATGGTTACTCAGCAAATATCTGAGAAAGCACAAGCAGAAAACCTGAAGAACTTCACAGAGTTAGAAACAGGAACTCTCAGCAAAACCACTTGTGTGTCATGGAAAAGGCTCTGCAGCAAGGAATTGGCATCTACCACCATGTACATGTACTGCATATCAGACTCTGCTTCTCCTCGGTTTAGTTCCTGCCCATCCTCTTCCTCCGTGTGGGAATTACACTAGGAAGGATGAAGTTCAGTCTTGAGTCTGTCCACGTGGATCAGAGACTTCTGGTGTCTCTGTCCACATGGATCATCATTTCTTGGTATCTCTGTCCAGGTGGATCAGAGGTTCCTGGGTGTCTCTGTCCACAGGGATCACCATTTCTTGCTGTCCCATGCCACCTCAGCTCTCACTGTCAGGACTCGGAGTGCAGAGATGTGCACCACACCCGGATGTTCCTGCTTGTTCCCGTGGGTTGGTGGGTGTGAGTTCTTGGGGGTTTTGAGGTCTAAGGAAGCATCAGAAGCAGAACTGAGCAGATGCACTTGAAGGGCCTGTGCACCTCCAAGGCAGGTGAGCAGGTCACAGGCAGAGCAGTGGTGTTCGATCGTGGCCGGAGTCTTCCTCTCCCTCTGGGATCCGGGGCAGGAGGGCAGAACGTGTCAACCCCCAGAACTTCTGAGGGGACATCTCCTTCTTGGTGGCTGTGAACTTCCAGCCCATGTGGTTCCCACAGATCCTGCACTGGGCTATAGTCCAGGCATACCTACCAGACACACACCAAATAGGATGATGTTAACACACAAGGAAAAGGCAACTGAAATCCTTCAGCACAGAAGTCCCAAGGTGGATTTGCAAAGCCTCCTCAGGACTCAAGTGCCCATTTCCCACCTAAAACCCTGCAGAGCTCAAAGAACCTGAAGAAACCTCCTCAAACTCCTCACCCCAAGGCTGCCTTCAAAGAGAGGAAGCAACTGAAGCTTTTTACTCATTAGCACGAGGTTCCAGCAGTGTGAGGAAACACAGAGGGCCCTGAAGGGTCAGAAAATGGTTCTCAGGGTGTTACTTAAGAGGAATCAGAGTGATTTTGCCCTGTTCCAGACAACAGGAACTGCATTCCCACACCCACAGAGCTCTTCCTTAACACAAGCCACAACACGAGTATTTCCAAACCCTCCCAAAGAGCTGAGAAAACACATGAGGCTGAGCAGTATTAACTCAGATATCTATCAGAAGCCACAGGTTTCCTTGAGGAGGGTGCAAAAGTGTGTGTGCTGTGCCAGAAATGCCACACACCCTCCCAGCCACGGCATCCCTGGTGCAAGGCCTGCTGTGGTGAGGCAAAGCTTTACAGCCTGGCACTGAGTTCTGCTGCTGTGTAAGAGGCCACAAATAACTATACACTGTACATATACTACACATACACTACAGTGATACGGGATATGTACACTGCATTTATAAATTATACTGTATGTGTTTTATATATACTGCAATAGAGACAATAAAATGCATTATGCTACTAAAAATATTCTACTTAAATACCTAAAAATACTATAAATATAGAATAAGTACAGTGCACTGAATTCATCTCCTCTGACTGCCACCTGCACTCCACGCTCAGCGCCGCGGGACGACGACTGTGGCTGCAGCTCAGACAGAGCTCTACCCACACCCTGCAGACATGCTCAGCCCTGGGCTGTGTGACCCTCCAGGCTCACCCTGGGAACCAGCTGTGCTCGGTGGAGGCTCTGCCACTGAGGCTGAGGTTGGAGGCTCTGCACACCGTCAGCGTCTCGTGGATGTAGCCGTGGGGGTTGACGTACGCGGCCATGGGCCCACACAGGGACAGGCTGCAACACACAGAGCTCGGTCAGGGCTGGCAAGGGAGACTGGCAAACTGCTGAGCAGCTGCTCTGCACAGCACTTCAGGCTCCAGGGACAGACACAGCCTTAATTCCAGTATTGAACACTGACAGGGAGTGCAAAATGTTGGTCAAATCTTGCCATTGCAGAGAATTACGTGGCAGACTCATCACTTCCTTCCTTTTATATAGCAGCCACCAAGGAAAGGAGGCAAAACCTAACCTGAGGAGTAAGCAAAACTGTTCACTCACTGCACCAACTTCTCACCTCCTGCTCAAGTGCAGCACACAGACACAGGAGGAATTGTGGCTGCTGCAGTCCATCATTTGATTAGAAGATAAGAAATGGCTTTTAATTACCACATCAGCTCCTTCTCACGCTGATGAAGTGTGGGGAGCCTTTGTTACACCAGGACATGCTCTAACCTTCACACCATCCCAGGGCCTGGGCTGGTTCAAGCAGTGACAGGAGTGCCAGAAGCACCAACTGCGTGGAAAAAGCAGTGATTGTCACTGCTGAACACAGAGGACATGGTCCAGGTCACATACAGAATGGAACACACTGCAGGGACAGGAACACTCAGAATGAAGAGGGGTCACAGTGCCCAGTGCCATGAACAGGCACATTCCCTATACACCATCCCGGGAGCCTCTCTGTGCCACCCAGTCTGCATTCCAGCTGCTGTGGGGCTTGCTGACACACACAGGGCAGGCTGAAATGCTGAGCAATAAACTTGGGCTCTGATGAGCAATAACAGGATGAAAAGTCTTCTGCCTCCCATTCCGATTCCAAACTCCTCAGCCCAAGGTGTGCACAACACTGACTCCTGTCACCTTCACTGGTGATGCTCAGGTTTCCTGACTTTGGCTAGAGAGGCTCAATCTGCTTTGCTGTATGAAGGACCTTCCTGTAAATACTTCCACTGGACTGGAGCTGTGGAGGACACAGCAGCTACAACCCCAGCAAAGCTGCTTCACTGTGCCACTGTGCTGACCCAGAGCCCCCAAAGACAGAGCAATAAACTCACCTGAATATTTCATTCTTGGTGGTTATTTCTGTGTCCTGGCACTGCTTACAACACAGAGATGTGCACTGGGAAAGGAGAACAAAGAGGTAATTTCATTCATTCCAGGCAAACGATGAAAATGTCTCTCCCCTGCCCTCAGAACAGATTTGGTACCAAATTATATTTTGCTTATCTGAGCAGAAGTCACTTAGGTTTTCTCTTTCTATCAAAGGAAAACTCTCTTTTCATGCATTTTACTTACTTAAGCATTAATTGTTAGCTAAAAGACAAACCAAACTATTCTTTCCCCACATAAAAACCCACACACAGAATTGGATCTGACGACACAAAGGCAATAAATGAGTCAAACCTTCTAAGGTCTGAAAGCTAATTTAGATAAAACAACCTTTGCTCTTCTAAAACACAACACAGAAAAGGCAGATGAGTACAAATGCAATCATTAAGTCCTTCTAAAATCTGAGGTTACTGTAGATCAATGAGTTTAATTTCCTCACAAAAAATAGGTAAAACATATTGATCTTTCTCTCGGAGATTATAACAGATTAATCCATCTTCTACAGTTTGTACAGAGCAGAATGGACAATTCATCACTGACACTGCCCACAAAATAAGCACTTAAGTCAGCTGAGCAGAACTCCACTATTAATTTTCAGGAGGTGCTTTACTCCTCCTTACTTGTAAGAGTGAAATCACCCCAAAAGGATCTGGACATCACTGGGACAGGTCCCTGTGTGAGAGTGAATCCCCTTAAAGCCTGGGGGACACCACAGCTGGTGGCTCTGAGCTCTGACTGCTGCACTCCCCTGGGCATGCTGCAGAGCTTGCTGCTCATCTCAGCTCCTGTGCTGAGTGGCACAGGCTGTGCCCACACCCCAGCACACTGCTGACTGTACAGTCACTGTTTGTCACACACAGGTCTCTCTAATCCCCTCTCCCCTGCCAGGCACCTTTAACACTGACTATCACTCCTCTTTTAAACCACTGCTCACAGATTGTGACCTACTGCCCACACAGCACTCAGAACCCAATTCAGCCAACACTTATCCCATCTCTCCACTCCAATTAGCACTCTGGAGTGGCATTCACGGCAGTGCTGTCCCTGTGAGTCATGTGCCTTCCTTGAAAGCAGCACAGGAACAGGTAACAGCAGGAAAAGCTATTAAAAACACAGTATAATTCACTGATACCAAAGACAACTCACTGACACCAAAGGAAAATGGACCATGTCTAAGCATCAGTTATGTTACTAGAAATCACATCCTGAACACAATGAAACATGCCAAGTCCTTCCTTCATAAGCAACCCAAAGTGCAGGCTCTGTGCCAGAGCTCTCAGTTAAAAACTGGTGGATTAGACCAAAATGATGTTGCTAAGACACCCTGTAAAAAGCCTTAATGCCCCGACCATTCTCACAGAGATGCAGAACAGTCAAACACATTTACAGGCCAAAATGGCACATGTTGATGAAGGAAAGAGTTTTGGGGTGTAGGTTAAAACCAACTTTCCCTCAGCAGCACCTGAACATCAGAATATTTTCAGCTTCTCACTCAGGAAACTCAGAGCCTGAGGCAAAAACCTGTCCATTCCTCTCAGAGTTTGGAAGAGATGTTTCCTGTCTCATTTCCCTGTACCTTCCCCTTAAAACTGAACTTAGGCAAGAGGAACAAAGCAGCACATTTTAGGCAGACAAAATTTCCTCTGCTCTGGATCCAGTAGACAAACCCACTGTTACCATTAAGAAAATATATATTCTTACAGAGACTACTGCACGAAAGTAAAACATTTAGAGCACCACAGGGCCACAGCAGTGGGAGACAGGCTTTGGAACAACCTCACAAGAGCTGCCCCACGAGTCTTTTGCCAGAAATCCTTTTAGTCCAATGTTTAGGTTTATACTCAATACTGCAAAGGTTTATCTTGTGCTACAAACCCCCCAGGTTTCCAAGGCAGAATGACCCTTGGCTGTGGAGTCAGTAACAGGTCATGAGGCTCTTAAGGTACTAAGGCAAACACTGAACTTATAGCACCACCTCTTGGCCGAAAAAGTGCTGCGAGGCACTGACACGGAGAAGTCTCAGTTTCCTGTTTCCTGCCAGGCATCCCCAGCACCGAGAGCTCGTTCCAGAGCTCAGCGGCAGGAGGACACCACAACACCCAGATTCACCCTCGGGAAGGAGCAGCTGGAGGTGCCACCCACTCGCTACAGACTGCAGGAGGCCTGGTGTGTTGTGTCAGGGCAGTGTGGTGAGGGGCCAGCACCCACCCTGTTCATGATGTCCAGCTCGCAGCGCAGCCGCTGCACGGCGCTGCCGATCTTCAGCAGCTGGATGCGCAGTCCATCATCAATGGGCAGGCAAGCAGCCACCCTGTAGGAGAAATCTGGGGACCAGAGAGCTCTGTTAGGAGGGAGCACAGGCACCAAACCTACTCACAAAGAGCTGACTGCCTCAGCCTTGCTTGCTCAGGAAATTACCCCAATAACCACCCAAATCCGAGCCCGTGACCTCACCCACTGCTGACCTGTCTTCTAAACACGTGGCCTTACCTATGGGGTTGGATGGAAGAGATTCATCTTTGAGATTTTCATCCCACTCATGGAGTTGCCTCTTGACTCTTTCCATCAAGGTTTCCTTTTGTTAGAAGAAAAGCCTAGTTTAAATACACAGGTATTTCTGGGTTCTTGGGGAAAGAAAAAGGGAAGCAAAATGCAGAGTAAGCTATTTTCCCTAAGTGGAGATTTGAAGACTTACAATCATTACAGACTCATTTTGTAGCTGTGTATTTTAGGTTAAGGGCAGAGCAGGGTGGGAAATGGGCCAAAATGAACCAAACTATAGTTAGAAGTAAGGGGACACCGTACAAGAGTCAGAGCTGCACAAACACCACCCTCCTGCCTCTCACACCAATCCCTTCATGCACTTACATCTATAAAGAAATGTGTGCTCTCAAAGAGCAAACTCCAACAGGAAAGACAGACCAAGAGCACTCAGCACTCTGGTCAGGATGCTCACCTGCAGCACACAGGACAGAAGGGCAGGTGTGTGCTCTGAGACAGCACAGCAGGAACCAGAACCTCTGGGATCCCTCCCAAACAGCTGCTCCAGCAGGAGGAACAGCCACACAGAGGGCACAGCCCTCCCTGATCCTTTCACACTACACCGAAAACTATGAACTTCTTGGAAAATGTAACTTATGAGCCAAAAAATTAAACCTTTTATATTACCCAACGGTTAGATATTAAAACTAAAAAACTAACTGCAGGTTACTTGGTAGCACATAAGGTGAACTTACAGCATCGTAGAGAGAGTAGAGCCAGGGAGGCCAAGATGTCAAACTTGCACAGTGGAACTTCCTCTGAAAGCAAAACCACACGTATTTACTCTTCCACACTAGCAGATTTTAGGGACAGTTCTTGTTTGAGCAAGTAAAAGAGGAGAACGACCTGATTACTTAAAGATACAAGGAATTATCACCATCTGGACCAGCACTTCAATGTGAAGCTCCCAAACCCCTTCCCAAACACACTGAGCTAAGGCTTCTGCGCCAGACAATCCCTGGATTTCCTCAGAGAACCTCTCTCTGATGATTAGTGGCAGTCAATTCTGCCTTTCAAAAGAGCATCTCTCTGCAATGCAGACAGTTCAGAATGGAAGTGCTATTAGACAGTGCATCTGTTGCTGAGTCTCCACCAGCTGTCCCTGAACCACCACATTTCCACCAGTGCAGTGTTATCTGCTTCATTAACCAACTCTCTGCAGTGGCTTCAGAGAGCTAATCGAAATCATTAGCTCAGATGAACTTGGTCAAGAACTCTGAGATCAAAACTTCGGGGCTTTATTTGTTTGGGTTTGAGGGCACAGAGTTCCAAAACAAAAACCAAACAGATCTAAAACTTCACTGCATGTGACAAGGAGGAGTTTCTGGGATTCTATATGGAGGTAGTTTTAAAGGTCTCTGCTGAGGCAGAAGATTTTAAGGTATCTTCCCTTCTATGTCACTGCCCACAACAGTGAGTGAAATGATAATACATATGGAAACTGGCACAGGTTGGACACACAAGCTGTGGCTGCCCCAACCCTGGCAGTGTTCACAGCCAGGTTGGATGAGCCTTGAGCAACCTGCTCTGCTGGGAGGTGTCCCTGCCCAGGGCAGGGGCTGGGTCTGGAGGAGCTCTGAGCTCCATCCCAACCCCTTAACTTTCTGTGACACAGCATCCCAGTGGTGCCTCCTCCTCCATGGATCAACAGATGGAATTTTATACTGATTTTCAAAATACCACCCAAAAACCTCAGCCAAATCCACACAATTAACTCCTAACCTTCTGGTACTTCTGCCACCACTGGTGTATGGCTGTGTCTTGCCAGGAGGTGGGTTTGGGGGAGGGAAACACGTGGCGCCTGCTGAGGGACTGCAGCTGCACTGCTGACATGGTTGGGGGCAGCACCCGCTCAGGAAGGATCTGCACTTTGGCCTGTTGGATTCTGAGAACAGAAAGGAAAAGATGAGGTAGACACATGGATGCAAGAGGTGAAAATGGGTTGTACTGCCCATAAAACCATGGGCTTGTGTGACAGATGCATCACTACACAGACTAGAGGGTTTAAGCAGCAATTCGGTCCATCCCATTTCTGAAGCTGTAAGTTGTGAATCTGATGTAAAACTGATGTAAGTCACTTTACCTCAGAGAACAGACAGTGTCTGCAGCACACCAAGTGCACACTGTGCTGCCACAGGGATTGCCTCAGGCCCCTGGCTACACCATTAAAGCCCCTGTGCTGACTGGACTTTGGTCTACTTAAACTGGAGACAGACACAACCTCAGTGTTTCCTTTAAACACCAGAATTAGCTGTTCTCCATATATCTTTGTCTTGGCATGCAGAAATCGACAAAGATCACCTTTTCCATGGGATACAACAGGCTAACTCTGTATTTCAGAGCACTAAACATCTGTTGGGCAGACATATCTGATGGACAGAAATACAGACACTGGCAGTGGCAAAGCAGAACATTCCGCATCTCAGCACTACAGATGGAGGTTTTGTCTCCTCGAGTTACCTATAAGCTGCCAGTGAGCTGTTACCTCTCACACCCTCCAAGAGGCAGTTCAGCTGAAATGCCCTCGAGTTACCTATAAGCTGCCAGTGACCTGTTACCTCTCACACCCTCTGAGAGGCAGTTCAGCTGAAATGTAGTTTGTTATCTTCAGACCATAAAAGCTGATGTGCTCAGCTGGAGGTCCAAATCAGCAGAAATAGGATATAGGCTCTGATCAGATTTTAATATCCCAACCACCAGGTCACCTTTCCCACACAGAGCTCTGCGGCTGCTGAGAACTGTGTCTGGTGGGACAGACTTCACGTTTTACCAGAAATCCTGGAACACTGAGGTGTATGTTGTGACCAATTTCCAGTTTTATTCCAGGGGCAGCACTGAACTGACAATAAACTATGAGATGATGTTTTGCCATGAGCAATTAGCAATCAGAAACACCAAGAGTCATAGGAATGTCCTTGCTAAGCAGCTCTGGACACTGAATTCTCAAAGCTGCTGTTGCTCAGTGTCCAAGCACTGCCACCCTGTGACCAAGCAGTGCTTTTCCCAAGCTGGAAAATCTGCAGTGTGTGCTTTGGAGTCAAAGGTCAGAAACAGGAAGCAGCACAGGTACTCTTCACTTCTCATGCTGCAGGCAATCACAGCATGAAAATGCTGAGCTCTGACTGCTGCCAGGCATCTATCTACCCTGAAAACTAGCAGAACACAGGTGATTAGCCTCAGATTGCCAGATCTGGAGCAACACTTCATAAGCCTGGCAGGAAAGATTACAGGACCCCCAGCAATTGTGCTAAGAACTGCCACATGCTGCCAGGATCAGTGCTGGAGCCTGCACCCCTGGGCAGGGACACTACACAGGCTCGTGGTGCTGGGCATGATGTCA